TGTCTTTTCTTTTTTTGTTGCTGGCTCAGCCTACCCTGGGGGTGAGGCTGGTGCAGTATGTGGTGTCAGGGATAGAACCACCATCCCTGTGTGCTTGCCTAAGCTTGCCTAAGCAAGTGCTTTAGACTGCTGAGATATCTCGCCGGTGCCACTATACAGATTTTCAATGTTAGAAAATATTTTACTAGGTAGAATAACAGGCAGTGCAATATCATGAAACTACTTGTAAACAAATGCTGAGCACTGGGTTTGCTGTGGTTGCTGTTTATCCCTGGTTTTCCAACAGTGGTTGTTTTGTTTTGTTTTGCAATAACCACCTACATTCATCAAGGCCAACTAAATAGATGAAATGCATAAGAAATTTAGGAAGTAGTTGTTTAGGAGAAGGAAAGAAGGAAAAAAAGAGTTTTGGATCCAATACCTTGCACCAACGAAGTACAGGTCACAGGATGGGTAGTGGTAGGAGAAATCCCTTCCAAATTTGGGTATTCTGGTTTTATAATAAAAGCCCGATTGTGAGTGGAATTCAATGTACCGATCATTATGCAAGAACACAATCTGCAATAAAACAAGAAAAAGGCTTTGCTCAGGTTTCAAGTGTTTATTTCACTGCCACCAAAACTAACAAGTGGGGCTGAGTGTCTCTATCGCAGTCACTTCCCCGGGCCCCGTACCTGGAGCCCAGGAGCTCCATGGGCTCCTTAAAGCCTCTTGTGTCCTAACAACTAGGAGAGTAAAACAAACTTGGCTCATGTCTTAGGCATCAGCATCTTATGACGTGGAGTCCTGCAGTGACCGCACTGAAGAATGTACCGTTTCACTGAGGATCGCATTGTAATAGTCCTGCAATTATCACACAGTTTGATAAGCTCCATGTGAACTGAAGCTGGATACAAAGGCACAGGCCTGAAATCCCAGCACCTGGAAGGCTGAAGCAGGAGGATCACTGCAAAGTCAAGGCCAGCGTGGGCAGGACACAGCAAGCCCTTCTTAAAACAATGACCTAAGAAAGATGAAGCGCTACTGGTTATTAAAAATATAGGTTTCACACGAGATGTGGAGAGCTTATTATTTTTATTTCATAAACACATAAATTATAAATATGTTGAATTTTTATGTCTTCCACATTCTCTACATTAGAACTTAACCATTTGCGGGGGCCGGGGAGCTGGCTCAGTGGAATAAGTGCCTCCCTGACAAGCGCAAGGCTCTGAGTTCAATCCCCAGTTCCACACACACAAAAAAGAACTTAACCATTTGATAGCTCAAAAGGCGTTAAATTTCTATGGAAAACAACAGTTGTGTTAGATCCACACTGAAAAACTAATAGAAAATATTTAGATTACAATGGAAGGATGAAAGGAATTTAGAAATAGGAAATAGTGAGCTACCCAAGCTAAGCAGGTACATTTCTGAACATTCTTTAGTAAATTAAAATTTTCAAAGGTAATTAATCTTGCTTTATTCAATACTACCAGCTTTTCTGATATAATACAATGCACCACTGTTAGAACAAGTTGCTATTTTACTAAAGAGTTAGAACTATTTTGTGACATTTACATAGTCCTTTTCTTCCAACCTGACATGCTTCTGTCACCATTTAAGACTACAAATCAGAAATGGCAGCTTTATTTAAGTGTTTGATTCCGCAAATGTCAGAGAACAGACAGATAATCCCATTATCACATGTTCTCTGAGTGAAGAAAATCAAATGTCAATTTATGATGACTTAAAATCCTAGTGCCAGGCCTCAAGGCAATAGGAGGAACAGTCATCAAGGCAGAAAACTAACTTTTTTTTTTGGTACTGGGAATTGAACTCAGGACCTTGTGCTTGTCAGATAGGTGCTGTACCCCTGAGCTACATCCCTAACCCTGGAGAACTAATTTTGATACTATGCTAACAAAAGTACTTGCAACTGTTACTATTTTTGTTCTGT